CATATGCTGGGCCTGTAAGTGGACGAGGGAACCGTGCAGCAGAGTTTCAGTTAAAAAAATGTTGCGTCGGTCAACGTGTCCGTTAAAGTTTAAATCTTCCGTACAAAATTAGAATAGTGCCGGTCAGAGGTCTTCTTTGTTATTTATTGAGCTTTAAAACAAATGAATAACGACTATATAATAATATAAGAATACAAAACGGAGCCTCTCTTTCCTCCCCCTCTTCTGACAGCCCAGCAGCTGATCTCTAACAGGAGGGGCGGGGAGAGGCGGGGCTATTGCTTCATCGTTATCAGGAAATGATCGTGTAGGGCGTACACACGGAGCCGTTTGGCTCCCAGAGCGTTTCGTCCGTAGATCTACCCACCTTGGGACCCCTTATCGTTTTCTGTGTTTCCATGTTGGCCTCGTGTGGCCGAACCGTCTATATGATAGTGAACTGTAGCGGATACGACCGTTATCGTTCTCGTGTGGCTGCAGCCTTAAACAAGATATTTTACAACCGAAAAAAACTATTTTTTCAAGAAAATATACTCAACTAATTCATTTGCATTTAAGAAGTCTGAATCCTCTTGACGTTTCCACGCACTTTTTGATGGTTACAGCTCTGCATATGGTCCAACTTCTTTATTATGTTCTGTCACCACTCAGGTGAAACCGCAGCTTGCAGTGAGTCAAACAGCAGTGCAGCACCTGACTCTGAGTCCACTGCCACAGCAGGTAACTAGAATAACTTCAACGCTTTTAAGTTAACATTTTATTTACCCCCTATAGCAGAACCAGCCCATGATTTATTGGTGTATATTAATAACCTTTATTAATGTCTTCATGGCTATTTATATGATTATAATTGAATCTGTGGCAAAATATGAGATTGTTTATACTTGAAAATAACAATTCATAGGACATGTTTTCTTTTCTTTTTTACCTGCTTGAGATTGACTTAAATACATGAGATACAGGTATATATATATATTTATTGATGTAAAGATGGCAATGTTTATTTGTCACAATTACTAATATGAATCCATAGCATCTCTACCATTTGAATGTATTATATCAGAAAGCAAAGACTTCTTTATAGCAAAGTAGAGAAATGTTAACAGAAATAAGACTAACTTTTGTAGTGGTTGATATCGGGATTTTTGTCTGATACATATTTGTGTTTTCCTTCTGTCTCTTCTATCAGAAGCAGCTGGAGTCAATGAGGAAGATCCCAACTCAAATCCTTTCAGCACTTTTCCTGAGATTGAGCCGTCGAAAGCAGCCAACAACTCAGGAGACAACGACGTTGTTGTTGTTACAGATTTCTGCAAGAGACCGGTCAGTCTGCTTTCAGTGTTTCTCCGTTTTGTCCCAGCTGTTCGAGATAAGTGTTAAAGGTCACCTATTATGCAAAATCCACTTGTTCACATCTCTTCTACATCGACATGTGTCCTCTCTGTGGAAAGAGACTCTGAAAGTTTCAGGAACAAAGATTCTCTCTCTTTTTGTCCTGATCCATTTCTATAAAAACCTGTCTGAAAATGAGCTGATCAGATTTTGGCCACTTTATGATGTCATAACGATTTTTTGACTTGTGTAACCATTAGCCAATCACCAACCAAGGTAACCCCCCCCCCCACCTTATTACCTGAATCTCCTCCTAGAGCTCCATTGTGTTCTTTTTAACCAAATATCTCTCAGAGGGGCGTGGGGAGGGGCTCCTTATTTTCATCTAAAGTAACAGACAGAGAATCAGCACTTTTGAAACAGGGCTGAAACAGAGGGGATTATGGGTAATGCTGCAATGATCTGTTTGGTGTTTGGAGCCAAACACTTCAGAGACATGTTTTGTATCTGAGACCTATAATATATGGATGAAAAACAGTATAAAAGGGGATCTTTTAAAGGTAACGGTTCAATCCACCTCCTCCAGGCCCGGGTTCGTGTAAAAAACAAATATGCTTTGGCGAGATCTCACGAGACGTTCCGCCTGCTGAGGAGGAAGAACCTGATCGTGGAGGCGGTGCGCAACTTCAAAATCATCGAGGGTCTCTTCCCGTAAGTCTGTCTTCATTGTGCCTCACTTATTCACAAGTATTTTATTGCACAGTAAGAAAAGAAAGCAAACACCAACATGCTGTCTGTCTCCAGGCTGCAGAAGATCATTACTGACGACGACAAGAAGGATGGAATCAACACGAGGTGCTGCAAGAAGACTATCGTACGCACCGTGGACAGCCTGTCCAGAGAAGGCTTACTAAAGGTTTACAAGACCACCATCATACAGGACGGGGTCACCAAGAACGTAAGTGCACCCATCACACATTGTTAGGAAAATATCACTCGACACCAGGTTGAGAATCAATAATCAGGTGCTAATTTATTCTTGCAAGAAGGAGCAGAGTTAAATCAAATACAAAGGATATGGTTTAACTCACACACACGGGGTATGTTGCTCAACGGAGCAGGAAAAACATCAGGCTTAGGCTATAGTCCAAAATACAGGAGATAACAACAACGTCGTAAATCGAGGTGGCGCTCATATCAGCCGCGGATGTCGGAAAAGCGTCGGGTCATCTGTGATGGGTCAT